TTTCCTGGCTTCTATACACACCCAGTCCCACATAAATTAACATATATAAAAATTAGAAGCTAGGATCTGGCTATGACAGAGAACATGTGGTACTCTGTCTCCTGGGATACCCCATTTGTATTAAAATAAATGTATCCTTTTAATGTAAAAATGAGAACACACCCTATGGCTAATCTAGCTTGCATTTGTCAATGTCTATGAATTTTTTTCCCAACTTTTGTAACGAAATTGTTAATCTTTACATACTTAATGCCACCTGTATCAATTTTACAGATAATTATGGGGAGATTTTGGAATATTTTTTTTTTCTTTGCAGTGCTAGAGATCAAACTCAGGTCCTTGCACATGCTGGGCAAGGATTCTACCACTAAGCTATATTCCCAGCCCTCTGGAGCCAATTTAAAATGAATTTGCCTTTTGTCATCAAGTGTCATTTGACTATTGCTTGTGGTGATATGCAAGATAATTGGAAACAAACCACATTTATCTAAAACAAACAAAAATGAACTTCTCATCAAATCAATGTTTCTAAGAGCAGTATTTGGGTAAATATTATTGGAGCCCTAAAAAAAATAATATCACAAATCTCCAGAAACAAAAAGTACCTAAGTATCAAAGAAAATTGGTATTTCCTCAAAACCAAAAAAAAAACTGTATTGTGGCATATTCAGGATTTGTCTGTGACAACATCGCTGTTTCTACTATATGTGATCTTTCGTTAAAACCTAATAAAACGCTTTATGCTAGTTACTAGAATGTACTGCTAACTTTTCTTCTCACTTTGGTGGAAGAGTACAAAAATGTTTGTTTCCTTAGAAAATACTAAAGCTGTGTAGATGTTAAGAACCTAAAAATTAAAGGAATTATTAAAAATAAAAAAACGTTTTCAACTATTTCTTTTTTTCCTTTTTTGTTTGAGATTCAGATAGCCCAGGCGGTCCTGGGCTGAGGATGACCTTAGACTCTTGATCCTCCTGCCTCTGATTCCAAAGTGTGGATGGAGGGGTTTACAGGTATGCAGCACCATACCGTTTATGCAGTGCTAGGGATGGAACCCAGAACTTCATCCTTGTTAGGAAGCATTCTACCAACTGAGCAGCATTTTGAGCGCTCCCATTTCTTTTTTTTTTTTTTTTTTTTTTGGTGGTGGTGGTGCGGGGAGAGGGGGGATGACACAGAGGCTCACTGTAGCCCTGGCTGGCCTGGAACTCACTATGTAGACCAGATTGGCCTTGAACTCACAGCAATCCACCTGCCTCTGTCTCTAAGTGCTGGGATTATGGGTGTGAGCCTCCACACCAGATCCTCATTTATTTCTTCAGGAAGAGAAACAGCACATTAATAATACAGAAACAACTGTATATCTTTTAGAGTATGCTTAATGTGTTTAAAGTCCTATATTAAAAATATACACAACTGGGCTCGAGAGGCGGCTCAGTGGTTAAGAGCACTGGCTGCTCTTGCAAAGGACCTAGGTTCAGCTAACAATCATCCATAACTACAGTTCCAGGGGACCCAACACCTTCTTCTGACCTCCCATGGGCATTGCGCAACATGAGTGCAGTTAAATACATTGCAGGTAATACACTCATACACATACAATAAAAATAATAAATCAAAAAATACAAAAAACTTTTGTGTGTGTGTCTTTTTGAGACAGGGTCTCCTTGTAGCCCCAGCTGTCTTGGAACTCACTATGTAGAACAGGCTGGCCTCGAACTCACAAAGATCTGCCTGTCTCTGCCTCCCAAGTGCTGGGAACGAAAAACTTTTTTGATTAAGATTCTGACATCCAGGGCTGGAGAGATGGCTCAGCGGTTAAGAGCACTGACTGCTCTTGCAGAGGACCTGGGTTCGATTCCCAGCACCAACATGGCAGCTATGAACTATCCTTAACTCCAGTTCCAAGGGAATCTGAAGCCCTCTTCTGACCTCCACAACATTGTACAACATGGGTGCACTCACATACATGCAGGCAATACACTCATACACATAAAATAAAAATAAAGAAAATACTAAAAAAAAGATTCTGACATCCAAAATTACTTGAACAATTAAAAACAAGCCATTTATTCAAGTTTGATGTCAGTAGGATTCAATGAAAAACAATAAATGTAATTTTTCACCTATCAAAATGGCAAAGATTTTTAAAGGAAAGTTAAAAATCTGAAAAGTCAAGAGAAACTGCTGATGTGTAAATGAACGTGCTTAACTATTCTAAAGGATTGTATGTCTTCAGTTTGCATACTATTTGGCCTAGATAGCTAACTTCTTCTCTACAATTTTCCTAAGGAAAAAAATTTAGAGATCAAAATTTTTAGGTATCTATAACGCTGTTCAGAGTAAAAAAAAAAAAAATCCCGAAAAAGCTTCAATGTAAATACAAATGGTGAATCACATAATGTATAATGTATACAAAAATAGGCATAGGCAGTAAATCTCTTACCTGAACATAAGGTCACATACCCATGAAACTTCCCAAACTCCCCAGGGCTATCTTCTCCTTTTAGTCACCTAGCTTTAGCAGTCAGTTCCCTACCCCGGCCAGGGGACTCTCAGGATGTTGGGACAATGTGATCGCATTCAGTTTAACAGCATGCTTCTGAGTCAGTTGTTTGTTCTCATCACTGTTTATGCCAGATACTTAACAGCACTATGATTCAATAAATATTGCATAAAGCAATTTTAAAGCATTCCAGTTCATTCCAAGACATTGCCATGTTTGTTATTACTGATCTAGAATCCTTACCAAAGGATACTGCTTTTACCTCAGAAGCATCTTTTCCAGAAATTCCTTCTATCTTCTATGTAGTCTATTTTTTTTTCTTCCGCTTCCAAACTTGATCAAGTTCCCCTTCCATGGAGGAATAAACTGCCTTGGTTACAGATTAATAGCATTGCTGGCTGGAGTATAACAGTGATAGAGCACATGAAAGCACCTGGGTTTAATCTCTAACATCAAAAAGAAAAGAGAAAAAGGAAAAGAGGAAGAGGGGAGGGGAGCAGAAGGAGAAAAGAAAGGAGGGGAGCAGAGGGGAGAAGAGGAGAGAGGAGAAGAGAAAGAAGAAACTGCAATGTCTTCCTTTGGGTTCCTAGGTAATGCTGTGATGCTGGGTATGGGATCTCCAGCTACATTCCTTGAAGCAGCGTGGTGTGCCGCTCAAGAGAACACTGCACTCACACTGTCTGCGCCTCACTTCTGAGCTGCTGGAACTTGAGGAAGTTCCCTAGTCTGCCCCTGCTTTAGTTTCCCGAGTGGCTAACCCTATGGGGAGTTAAGGAACCAGGTCACAGTGCTGCTTGGAAGAAATATGTGAACTCATACAAGTCAGAAGCTGAGGACAGTGCCTGCCTAGCACAGAAGTGCACCAGAAGCACGAGTGGCTGCTGTTATTTTCAGACCAGATGTCTCCTGCCCAGCCCCTAGCACGGTGCACCAAATGCATGCCTAATGAATGAAAGAAGGAACAAATGGTCCTGTGTCTCCCCATCCAGCTCATCCCCAAACACCTCTTTATGACATTGTTTCTAATTTTAAGCTTCCTATAAATTTTTATAGATGCTATGCATTTTCCCATGAAAATTCCTTTACCTTCTTTTAATCTACCCTTCTGCTGACAACAAAACCTAGGAGAGGAAAGCAAAGAACAAACAGAGAATTGATGGATTTTAGACAACATAGGGAAATTGATCGGGTTTAAAGAATATCACTCAGCCGGGCATGGTGGCGCACACGTTTAATCCCAGCACTTGGGAGGCAGAGGCAGGTGGATCTCTGTGAGTTCAAGGCCAGCCTGGTCTACATAGCGAATTCCAGGACAGCTGGGGCTACAGGGAGACCCTGTCTCAAAAAAACCAAAAAAATAAAAAAAGAATATCATTCAAAAGAGTGTGTCCAACTGTAAAAAATGACCCAAAACCCTTAGCAAATGGGGATCGGGGGCAACATAGGAGATTCACAATTCATATAGCTTTAAAGGATTTATTGTTGAGTAACTCCTTCACCCCTCACCCCATCAGGCCACTCTCATTCTGCTCTTCTGATCATTCTCAAAGCTGAATCCAGTCTCCTCTACAGAGGGTGAGAAGCAATGCTAAAACCAATACTTTCGATCATGCCTTTATCAGGCACTATGTCACTGTGGGAGGACTGCTGGTTTGCTTTAAGGATGTTTTCCTAGGATTCCACGGGATAGTCCTTTTTTAAGGTCACCACCGGGATAGTCATGGAGTTGAAATGTCGCTGCCCATCTAAGTACAACATGGACTCTGAAACACAAGAAAGATAGATATCTCTGGAGAACATGGAACACCTTAGAAAATCACACATGACTATCCAGGAACATGAGAACAGCAATGCTTGTGCAAAAGGAGCTAGAATGGGGGTGTACTCTGGAGCTGGGGATGTGCAACCATTCCAAGGGAGCAGGCCCTGCCTCCACGCCTCTCCTTTGGCTACTCTAGTCTTTCACTACCAGGGGCTGCTTGCGGCTAGTACTAGCCCATTCTACAATAGTTGGCTGGGAAGAGCAGCAGCCGCAGCCTGAGGGCCAAAAGACATCTTTGGCCCTCAGGGCTATAGAACTTCAAAAACACAAGCTTCCAAAGATATGCTCCTGGGATGACAGGCATGAAGACCCTTCCCATGTTCATTTAAAATAAGGAGGCTTGGGATATAGTTCAGTGGCAGAGCACTTGCCTAGCATACGAGAATCCTTGGAATCAATCCCCTATGCCATAAAAAGAAGGAAATTTCTTGAAAATTTCTTTTCTTCATTAGGAAAAAGCAATCATCACAGCTTACCTCCATATGTTCTGGGGAAAACCAGGGGTACTTCTTTTTCCGACATGAATGTAAAATGAAAGACATTGGTGGTCATGTGCTCATGACTCTCAAGAGAGGCCACTTCACTATGCACTCTGACTTGAATGTAGTTGTTCTGAGTGAAGCACACCTGGCAGGTTAAAGACATTACAGTCAGTCAACTGCATTAGGAAGGAAAAAAGGCTGTCATAAGAGAAGCAGCCTTCAGAAGGTAACAAGTTCTTTCTAAGCTCAAATGATAAAAACTGTTTTTCACCTCTCACAACATACCTACCTGTGAGGAAAGGAAGAGCAATGAGCCAACTTCAACAGGTCTCTGGAACATGATATCATCCACTGTTACCACAAAGGGCCGGGACCCACTATGGAGAAAGGCCAAAATTGGAATGAATTGCAAAATTCAGATGATCTCAAAATTCCCCACCTAATAATCCACTGAGGCAAAATAATAATAGTCAAAGAATAAATCTAGAAAAGGGGAAATTGTCATACCAGTGACGAATGGTAAGAGATGCCACTGTGACCACAGAGGTCCAAAAATCATTATTTCTTTCTTTGTATTGCTGTATTTTTTTTTTCAGTGGGTCTTTAATGGACTAGCAAAGTCAGAGCAACAGTGCTCTAAAATCAACATCAAATGCAGCTGGTATGAAGGTAATATTCATTTTTAAGAAAAAGCATAATCCTGGCAGCTGGATATGATCGAAATGCATTACATTCATGAATGAAATTACCAAAGACTTTATATTTTTTCCTACAAAAAAAAGCGTAAACTTGGACCAAAGAGATAGTTCAATGGTTAAGAACATGTACTGCTCTTGCAGAGGACCCAAGATAGGTTCCCAGCACCCACATTGGACAGCACACAACCACGTGTAACTCCAGCTCCAGGGGATCAATGCCATCTTCCGTCTTTGGAGGGCATTTGCACCCATGTACACACACATATGTACACACACATGCGCACACACACACATGTACAAGTACAAATTTAAAACTCTTTACGGCTGGGGAGATGGCTCAGTGGTTAAGAGCACTGACTGTTCTTGCAGTAGAACCAGATTCAGTTTCCAGCACCTACATGACAGCTAACAACCATCCATAACTCCAGTTTCAGAGGATCCAACGCACTCTTCTGGCCTCCATGGGCATTGCACAACACAGGTGCACTTACATACATGCAGGCAATACATTCATATATATAATACAAACAATAAAAAAATTTAGGGACTGGAGAGATGGCTCAGTGGTTAAGAGCACTGACTGCTCTTGCAGAAGACCCGGGTTCAATTCCATTCCCAGCACCTATATGGGCAACGGACCAGCCCAGATGGGGGCAGTTCAGTCCGATGGGAACAGGGTCGTCGAGGGGGTGGACAAGGAGTCGGCGAGTGACAAACAGACACACATGAGCTTGGTGAAAGTCTGAGTGCAATTTTTGCAGCTGCAGGGTTTGAGATATATACAGCAAAGATTGCAAAATTTCTTCAACAGAAACCGCAGAACAGTCATGCTAAGATTTACAATTCCAGAGATGAAAGTAAAACAATTTTGCCAACTATCATGTACAGCCAAAACACATTTCCCTATCTTATCAACCTGGTACTAGACAGTAAATTCCTGCTTTACTGTGGTTTTTACTGCCAGCCTTTCTCACACACTTAGGATTCTGCTCGGCTTTGTAGTTCCAGGTCAGAATGACCTTAACCCACCAAGCACTTTCAACACCAGCTGTGCCTGATATTACATTTTAACTATTTGATAACATTCCTTGCTTATCTGTAGTGGGCCATAGGGCTTCTAAGTTATTTTTTAACTCCATAGGTCCCAAAAAGGCCATCCCATGTTAGGGATCTATGAAACCATCCTTTTCTCCTATTTTTTCAATTTTCAAATACAGTCTAATATTTGCCCTTTAATGCTCTCTTATTGATTTTTTGTCAAAAGACACCAAGTTGTCTTCACCTTACCAATTTATCCATAAATTGTAATGAATACAAAGAAACCCTTCTTCTGTCTATTTTTATCCAACTATGTCTCTCTTCCAGAAATCCGTTATTCCCTGGACTTTCCAGCATTAATTCTGTTTAACTACTTCTTTAATAGTGGTGCATCTGGACTAGGATGATTAAAGGCAGTGACAGTGGTGTTAAGAACACCGGGTGATTTCCAGGTCCTTTAAAGTCCATAATACAGTGACAGAAAGATAATAGCAAGTAAAAGCATGCCAAGTATACTGCATGTTTTTTAGCACAGCCAATTCCAAGAGGCAACCTTCCTTGAAGTTCCAGCCTCAACCCACGGAGGATCTCACGCGGGCTTCATTGGAGATGGCCTGACATACATGGTGGCTACAAACCATCCTTAACTCCAGTTCCAGGGGAATCCGAAGCCCTCTTCTGACCTCTGCGGCATTGGATGACACGGGTGCACTCACATACATGCAGGCAATACACTCACACACATAAAAAAAAATAAAGAAAATATGAAAAAAGTATAATCTTGGGTCAAGAGTAGATGTAGCAGATGGACAAGCACTGGGAAATGCCTGGGGGCACCGACAACACAGTGGAGAGTAACAGGGATGACAGAGGATATGACCTCCAGTGGGGGGGCTATGGGAGGGTGCCATTTGGGATGTGGGTATATAGATGAGTAAGATTGTCTGGGATGTTCTGTATGAAATATACACACAAAAAAATCAACAAACAAAAAAATGAGTTATATTTGAGGAAGAAGCATAAAAATTTGCTTCATGTTAATTAGTAGAGGTGAAAAACATTACCACTGAAATATACCTGATGATTTTGTAACCATGCTCAGGTGCCAAGGATCTCAGAAAGTAACCAACTGTGTACAAGAGTGCACCTTCTTGACTATAGCTACACCATGCTAAAGTTAAGGCTGACTCTAGTTTCTGAAATTATCAGGCAGTTGGCCCAGGGTATGAGAACGCCACCAGGGCCCTGGTTGTCTTGGGAACAGGTCAGAGCATCCTAGAGTGTTCCTGCTAACTGCTGATTTACGGCTTCTGTAGGTTATGCTTGGCTTGCTTCTGCAAAACAGTAGTTTTTGCTAACAGACCTGTTTCTCATTGGAAGACTTAGGGAAACTTTAGAGGGAACTTTGTGACCAGTAAAGGCAAGGTAAATAATAAAATTGATAATGTCTGCTTATGATTGAGGCAGAAGGCATGCAGATGTACTATGGTTCAGGTGGGAGGTTTGGATGGAAAATTGCATTTTCTTATGTATTTCCTTGATAATGTTAGCTCAAGCTTAACACTCAATGATTAGCTTCTGTATTCTGCTTGCTTGCCTAGCAACATGATCAATATAAAAAGAGCCAGAGTGCTTAGGCTCAGTGCTACTCTCGGGCCCTTTAGGAAAGAGTGTAGCCCGGCCGTAATAAATCTATCTTTCCTTCTCTAGAGACTCACCTGTCTGTCAGTTTGGGGCATTTGTAGATCACAGACTATAACATGTAATAATCAGATACATAGAGATTAGAGATACATGTGCAAACATTGTGTTAGTAGCATTAAAAATGAGTTTTTCTATATGAAACAGTATATTTTAAAATGAAATGAAGATGTGCTCACCTCCTCCTGCTTCCCTGGGCCTGCAACTACCAGCAGGCCTCTCTCTAGGGTAAGTCGATAGCACCCTCCACACCTTGACTCACCCAGCCTCATTCACCCTCCCATCTCCCCCCCACCCCAAGGTCTCTCCTACTAGCCTGGGTCCTGTCCCATTCCTTGTCTTGGCGCCCCAGACACCAGGAGAACCACCACTGCTTCCTGATCCTTTGCATTCAGACCAACCCAGTTCCTTTTCGGGTTGCCAGGAGCCCTCTGGGCCTGGCCCCGCCCTCACCTCCCTCTGCTTCTCTGGTCTGCACAACCCACCAGTCTCTTTCCTGGACGCCTGGGCTGACCTTTCTGCTTCCTGATCCTTTGCATCCAGACCAACCCAGTTCCTCAAAGCAGTCCCCAGGAGCCCTTGGGGACTCTTCCCACCCCAATCTCCCTTTGCATCTCTGGGTGTCATGGCCACCAGCTGCCCTAGACCAGCATCTTTCCTGGGCCCTACTCCCAGGCCAGTCCAACCCCCAAATTCCTGAGGCCAAAATCTTTCCTGGAGGGATCCAGACCTTAGGAGAAAGCCTGAGAGCATCTGATGCTCATCTGACTTGGGCCTCTGTGGGAACTCCTGAAGACAAAAGCAATCTGGCCACTCCAATATAAAATCAAAAGAGAGAACCAGAAGCTTAGATG